ACACAATTATTAGCTCTATCTAAACCTGTTTATATCATAATTTTAGAGGAGTGACTGTTGTAAATAATAATTATTAAGTTATTATTTAGTTATTATTTAGTCATTTATTTGTTGTATTGGGCCAAGCCCATTAGGTCAAAATTAGGTCAAGTATTCTCTATAAATAGAGAACCCTTTGTACAGATTATATACAATTCAATAATATTTTAAATACCCTTTTCTTTCAAGTTGGTATCAGAGCTCTCGATCCAGAGGGCTCTGCTTCCGCAATTACCTCCGTTAAAACAGAAACCTTCTTTCTTAGCCTCTTACCGCCATTAGCCGCCACCGGAAAATTTTTTCGGTGGACCTTTTGGACCAAGAGGACCAGTTTTCAAATCCTTTTTCTCTGATCTATCAGCTTACGGACGTGTTATAATCGTTTGACGACCGGATCTTCCCAAAACAACATAAGGCCGCTACTGTTCATCGCATTTTGGACACTTTTCCGGCGACCTTTCAACTCCGACCGGCCACAGAAAGGTTCGAGACCGTTAGACGACCTCGCCGCCGAAATTTCAGCTCCGGCGGCCGCCGCACGCGCTCTCACGCGCCGCCACACTCCCGGCGAGTGAGGCCAACTCGCAGACACCTCCACCGGCGCGTGGAGGCGCGTGGGCCACTTTTTCCAGCTCCGGCCAAAAAGTTTTCTGATCTTCTCCTCATCCTCTTTTTGGATCTGTGCTCTCCTCTCAGATCGGACGTTGTTTGGTATTTGTTTTGTGATTTTTTGGCTTCTTGAAGTTTTTTCTTTGACCATTTTCTGTGCAGTATGGCCTCTTCTCAAAGGAGTTCTTTTTCAAAATTTTATTATGGTACCTCTTCTAGACGTAAGAGAGATGATCGATGGTGTTCTTATTGTAAAAGAATATATCATATCAAGGATTTATGCTTTCGCCTTTATGGAAAGCAAACTGTCTTAGAAAAGATGGCAAGGTTGCGTGGTCAACTGCATTTTACTAATATAACTTCTGCACCTAATGAGACCCAACCTGCATTTCGTCCAGATGAGTTGGAACGGCTCCGAACCATTCTTGATTCTATGAGTAAGACATCTGATACTAGTGCTTTGACTATGACTGGTATGAGCTCCAAAACTTATTCTTTCCTTTCTTCATGTAATAATTTTAAACATTCTTGGGTTGTTGATTCTGGTGCTACTGATCATATGGCTTGTTGTGCTGACTCCTTTACTTCTTATCATCCTACCATTGGAACTCATACAATAGCCGTAGCTGATGGCTCTTATACATCAGTTGCGGGTTCTGGTGACATAAACTTACAGCAGTCCTTACATCTTAATGATGTTCTTCATGTTCCTAAACTCTCCACAAATCTTATTTCTATTCATAAAATTACAAAAGATTTGAATTGTACTGTAACCTTCTATCCTACCCATTGTGTTTTTCAGGATCTCACCACGGGGAAGACGATTGGTAGTGCTAAAGAGCAAAGTGGGTTGTACTATCTGGTGTCACAATCTCCTGCAAATAAAGTAACAGATCACATCTTGATGTCTCATGGTCAATCAACTGTTGATTCTTTGATTTGGCTTCATCATAAGCGCTTAGGTCATCCTCCATTTAGTTTACTCAAATCTTTATTTCCGACATTGTTTTTGTCTAAATCTATTGAGTCTTTTCATTGTGATGTTTGTGAATTTGCTAAGCATCATCGTGTGTCTTTTCCTTCTAGTATTACTAAGAGTGTTGAACCTTTTGATCTTATTCATTCTAATGTTTGGGGTCCCTCTAAAGTCCCTCATGCTTCTGGAAATAGATGGTTTGTTTCTTTTATTGATGATTGCACTCGTGTAACTTGGGTGTACTTAATGCGTGAAAAGTCTGAGGTACCACAACTGTTCTTTCAATTTTATAAAATGATTGAGACCCAGTTTGGTAAAAAAATCAAGAGACTAAGAACAGATAATGGTACTGAATATGTTAATCACAGCTTTTCCCAATTTATAAGAAATAACGGTATGATTCATGAACTTACTTGTGTTGACACCCCCCAACAGAATGGGGTTGCTGAAAGAAAAAATCGTCACCTTCTTGAAGTGGCTCGTGCATTAATGTTTCAGACACATGTACCCAGATACTATTGGGGAGATGCTATTCTTACTGCAGCATTCTTGATCAACCGTTTACCCACTCGGGTACTTGACCATGTAAGTCCTATTCACTCTATGACTTCTTTTTTCCCTTCTATTCCAACTATGATGAGTCTTCCTCCACGTGTGTTTGGGTGTGTTGCTTTTGTTCATGTTCATAAACATCATCGCAGTAAGTTGGACCCTAGGGCTATTAAATGTGTTTTTCTTGGTTATGCTCCTGATAAGAAGGGCTACAAGTGTTATCACCCTAGTAGTAGGAAATTTTTTGTTTCTATGGATGTTACATTTCAGGAATCTGAGTCATTTTTCCAAGGTCCTCATCTTCAGGGGGAGAATCCTTCACCAGAAATCTCATCACCTTCCTTCCTTGAGTTTGAATCATCAGTGTCTACTCATTTACCTATGTCAGTGTATCCTCCACCTGGTCCTGTTCCTCCTGTGTCTGTTCCTCCTGTGTCTGATCCTCTTGTGAGTAATCCTCCTGTGTCTGATCCTCTTGTGAGTAATCCTTTTGTGACTGATTCTCCTGTGATTTATACATCAAGTACACCAGAGATACGAAAGATTATGACACCTGAAAGAAGGAAACAGCCCACATTGTCTCAGCAGCAACCTCAATCGTCTGAACCACTGGTAAGTCCTGAATCTCATATTTCTGATCATGATGTTAATACTTCTGATGACTTACCCATTACTACTGATTCTGATGATTTACCCATTGCTCTTAGAAAAGGAAAAAGAGCTTGTCCCAAGAAATCTTGTCCCTCATGTCCCTCTTGTACTCAATACCCTATCTCCCAGTTTGTTTCCTCTGCTAATCTTTCTGTGCAGCACAAAAGCTTTGTCTCAGCACTAGACTCTATTGCAATCCCAAAATCAGTACATGAAGCCTTGAAAGATAGGAATTGGGCTGAAGCCATGCAAGAGGAGATGAATGCTTTGGAGAAGAATAAAACATGGGAGGTTATTGATAGACCCAACGGAAAGAAAGAAGTAGGGTGCATATGGGTTTATGCCCTGAAATATAATTCTGATGGCACTCTTGAGAGATACAAGGCTCGATTAGTGGCCAAAGGTTACACTCAAACTTATGGCATTGATTATGAAGAAACCTTTTCTCCAGTTGCAAAGATGAATACAGTGAGAATCTTGTTATCCCTTGCTGCCCATTACAATTGGGATATAAATCAATTTGATGTGAAAAATGCTTTCCTCAATGGTGAGTTAGAAGAAGAAGTTTACATGGAAATCCCGCCTGGTTTTGATTCTGTGAAGGGGGAAAATAAAGTTTGTAGATTAAAAAAGGCCTTGTATGGATTGAAGCAGTCACCTCGTGCTTGGTTTGGTAGGTTTACTAAGGTTATGATGACCTTAGGATACAGACAGAGTCAAGGAGATCACACTCTTTTCTTCAAGCACTCCCAAAATGGGAAGCTTACTGTGCTCCTTATATATGTTGATGATATTATTATCACAGGTGATGATTTTGTGGAGAGACAGATTCTACAAACACGGCTTGCCTCTGAGTTTGAAATCAAAGACCTTGGGAAACTGAGATATTTCCTAGGGATAGAAGTAGCTTATTCAAGCAAAGGAATTTTTATCAGCCAGAGGAAATATGTTTTGGATCTTCTCAAAGAAGCAGGAAAGCTCGGGTGTAAACCCTCTAATACTCCTATTGAGCAGAATCACAAGATGGGCTATGAAGAAGAGAGTCCTCCAGTTGATAAAGGACAATATCAACGGCTAGTTGGAAAATTGATATATTTGGCCCATACTAGACCAGACCTAGCTTATGCTGTTAGTGTTGTCAGTCAGTTTATGCACGATCCAAAGGAAAAACACATGCAGGCAGTAGAGAGAATTCTTCAGTATCTTAAAGGTACTCCTGGTAAAGGATTGTTATTCTGACGTGATGGCAATCTATCTTTAGAAGTCTACACAGATGCTGATTATGCTGGATCCGTGACTGACCGTCGTTCTACCACTGGTTATTGCATGTTTCTTTGCGGTAACTTGGTGACATGGAGAAGTAAGAAACAAGATGTGGTTGCCAGATCAAGTGCAGAAGCTGAATTTCGAGCTATGGCTCAAGGCATTTGTGAGTTACTGTGGCTGAAAATTGTACTTGATGATCTCAAAATAAAATCTGAGGGACCTATGAAGCTGCTATGTGATAATAAGTCTGCTATTTGTATAGCTCATAATTCAGTTCAACATGATCGGACTAAACATATTGAGGTCGACTGCCATTTCATCAAAGAGAAACTTGATAGCGGGTTGATTACCACTCCATACATTCCCACTGGGCGTCAATTAGCTGATCTATTAACAAAGGGGCTTCCTTCAAACAGATATCAAAAAAACTTACTAGCAAGCTGGGAATGATAAATATCTATTCCTCAGCTTGAGGGGGAGTGTTGTAAATAATAATTATTAAGTTATTATTTAGTTATTATTTAGTCATTTATTTGTTGTATTGGGTCAAGTCCATTAGGTCAAAATTAGGTCAAGTATTCTCTATAAATAGAGAACCCTTTGTACAGATTATATACAATTCAATAATATTTCAAATACCCTTTTCTTTCAAGTGTGACAGATTCAGTTCTTAATCCAATTTCAACTCAAAAGTTATTATTTCAATTATCAAAGATTAAGGAGGAGAGAATTTGGCACTATGATGTAACGAGTTGACCCAAAAACCGGGTTGTGTCTCACCTAAAGTCCAATTTGAAACTCTAGGATTACTTCCACTATTTTTCAACAATTCTTTACAAGAAAAGTTCAGACAAAACAGTGATACAGAAAAGACAATATTTTTTCCTCATTTCATTGATTGGACATAAACGTCACTAGAACATAACCATTTTCCTTGACATGTTGAAAAGGTATAAGATAAATTTAAGATTCATATCCTGCTGAGCTAAATAGAGTACAATAAGTAGACACATGAAGTTACCATGTGACAAATATATCACAGTCATTATTCACTATTTTGCCGATTTAAAGCTAGCTACGATTCATTATTTAGTTTTTTCTCCATTCATATTACAACACTAGCCCATTGTATAAGAAGGTGTGGGCAAGTTGATCACAGTTGTTTTGACCTTGGTCATCATGTTTATGCTGTTGGTAATCCCTTGAGATCCAATTCCACTATCCTTGATACCCTGCCAAAAAAGCAATTATTTAATTAGTTTTATAGTGGTGTCATTGTTTTGTTTTTTCAAATTTTGGCATTAGAAATTGGTTAGTATGGTGAGTTCACCTGAAATGGAAAATGGTCAGGTCCACGGGCTGGGGCAGAATTTATCTGAACTGTGCCTGTCTCCATTGCATCACTGATCAATATTGCTTTGTTGACATCCTTTGTGAAGACACAACCCTGAACAAGCTCATTGTGTTTAATGCAAATTACATAAATGCTCTTCAAATAAAATGAATCTATTAATTGAAGTCACTGTACTCTTAAAGGTTAAATGTCAATGTTCAAGTGACAGGGCTAAATATTATACCTGAAGTCCAAAATTGCTAGCATTACAATGGTGGATTCCTTCTTCAATAGAATTTATTCTTATAACTGGCAAAACTGGTCCAAAAGGTTCCTCCCATGCAATTCTCATATCAGGCCTAACATTATCCAAGAGCAAAGGCCAAATGAGATTCCCTTCTCTTCTATACTCCTGGCAGAATGTTGCTCCTTTTTGTTTTGCATCCATGACCAGGCGTTCAATGAAATTGGCTGATGATTCTGAAACAACTGGGGTGATATCAGAGTTATCTTCTGGTGGCCCAACACTTAGCTTTGCCACCCTACCCTTCACTTTCTCAACCAATGCATCGGCAACAGATTCCATCACTAGAACAACCTTAACAGCAGTGCACCTCTGACCACTTTTATTGATAAAATGTACAATAAATCAAGTGGTTATTAGATAAAGGAAATTCCTATAAAATGTTAATTAAATTAAAACACAAACTAAAATTGTAGTGTCACAAAAAAGCCTGAGTGTATAGAAGAAAATAGTTCCTTTTCCTATGTTGTAGCATAATGGAAAACAACACTACATGCTGAGTATTCAGAACACAGAAGTATCTAATGTTATTGATTGAGGTGAACTAGAACTGAAAACAACTCAAATTTCAAAATTGCCATTTATATCAAATCAATGCATAAAAGGAGTGGAAAATCCCATCCTACCCCTTTCCCTAGAACTGCAAAATCGTATATGCCATTCACCTGTATGAAAAGCCTCCTTTTGTAATGTTTGCAGCCACCAAATCTAGGTCAGCATCCTCAAGTACAATGCAGGCATCCTTTCCTCCCAATTCCATTTGCAATGGAATCATGCTTGCTTTCTTTGAAATTGCAATACCAGTATCTCCACCAGTGAAGCTGACACATAGGTGAATCAAAAATCACCAGAATAAAAATTAATGACAACATGGAAATAGAGGATTTGAGGTATCCTATGATAGGCTGATAGCATCACATAAAAAGGAACAAACTGTCACCTTATACAGTTCACTCCTGGATGCATAGTAAGGAAGTCACCAATTTCTGAGCCTTTGCCAGTAACACAACTTATTAGGCCTTTGGGAAAACCAGCTAAGTGAAAGCAATGCACCATGTGAAGAGCAGAAACAGCTCCCTGAAATGCATCGTCAGACAACCATTTAGAAGGAACAAAGCAGTAAAGAAGGGAAAAAATTAAAATATTGACAATCCTAGGTAAAAATGTGAACACTTATTTGTGCTTCCACTGTGGTTGATCAGAAGTATTTCTATCATCACAGTAGTGAAGATTGTAATATGAATATTTTGGAGGAACTCTGATTTTTTGTTTTAATAAAATAATTGTTGCATTCTCTTTTAACTGCAGCAACCTATGTAAGCATTTTTTTGACCTGAGCTAATAGTTATTGGTTTAAGAGTAAAAATATTACCTGAGTTGGAGGCTTGAGCACAATGGAGTTCCCAGCTATCAGCGCAGGAGCAATTTTTGAGACAGCAAGGTTGACAGGATAATTAAAAGGTGGGATGGCTAAAATCACTCCTAATGGAATCTGAAAAAAAAATTGAAACTATTTATACCACATCATAAACCAAGAAATATAATAAGATACTAAGATGGCAACCCACCATGGTTATTTTATTTGCTTGTCATTAAAATTACTAAGATAATGAAATCTTCCCAGAAATTACAGCATTATACATACTCAAGCTTTTGATGATGTGGCTGCTTGTGACTTCATAAAATAGGTTGTCATATTGAGTTTGTAGATGTTATATAGTTTTGTAAATCTATTGAAGAACTTTTACATATTTATTTGGTCCAGTTCATCAAGGACTGCTTTGTCCTTTTAACAACTATAAAACCATGCTCTTATCAGGAATTCTGAGCCCTCCTCAAGCATATTAACAAGCAATGAAAAAACAATTATTGTCTTAATAAATTACAGCACACTCGTCACTTGAGCTTCAAATGTACCGCCTCACCTAACTAGCAAATGCAACCTCCATAAAGAAGGAAGAAAAATAAAAACAAACTCTCAATTTGACTTTGTGTGATTTTAAAAATAGTCGTCCATTCTATTTTCAAGCTCAAGGACTTGATAACAAGAAAATCCTTAATCTTCTAGAGTGAGTGTTAGCTAGTAAATGTATGAATTATATGAAGTCTCATATGGAAAATAAGTTCTGAAAGTTAACCTTGGCTGTAAGGCAATATTTTGTTCTTTCATTTCCAGGAAAGCTGTCTGACACTAAGAACTTTCCCTCTCCCAGAATTCTTACCCCTTCTTCAGCACAGTAAGAAATCAGATCCCCAGATCTTACAACCTTCATGCAAAAAATTGAAAACTAATTATTTTCATGATTGAAATTTCTAGTACCAAACAATAGTTGTAGTCTTAACCCAAAACACAATATGCACCTCTGTAACTGCGTCTTCGGCTGGCTTTGCTATTTCTTTCACCAGGCACTCTGCAATTTTATCTTTGTGTTCTTTGAGAATAGCAGCTGCCTTGTGAAGAAGTTCAGCCCGCTTCCAGAGTGGGGTCTTTGCCCATGACTTTTGTGCAGATTTTGCTGAATCCATTACCTTATTAACTTCTTCTTGCGAACAAGCTGAATCAATATCATTTCAGAGCCTATCACACACAGCTATCTCCTCATACTTATATAAAAATTCAAGTTTATGGTTTCATACTTTCTAGTTTGGTCACAGAAAACTAGAAAATTGCATGTTTAAGAACCACGTAATTACAATTCTGGCAGCAATTTTAGAGCAATCAAATTACCCTTTCTCCACTTATAATAAACAATCACAGGAAAACAGCATTTAATCCATAAAATTTGTAGACAAGATAGTAAAAACTTTCTAGGATTAAGCTTTCCAAGCATAATGGTACTCCAACTCCTATTATGACTTAGTTACCTATGCTATATAGTACTCAAACCGGACTAGTTAACAATCGAAGAATAAGTGGATATATCCAAAAATAAAAAATAAAATCCTTAGATAGTTGAGTACCTTGAACTTTATATTGAGTCTTTCTGGTAGTGGGGTTGATGATAGAAACACTTTTTCCTGCAGAAGATTTTTTCCATTCTCCATCAGAGTAGTACTTATACACATCTCCATCCAAAGTTTCAGCAAACACTCCAGTTCCACTTCCAGCCATGTTAGAAAGACCCTAATGCAGATTTTCCCTTTACACCAAGCGATATATAAATATAGTGTAGAGAGATTATGAGGAGTGTAAGGTGAAGTATGGTTTGGTGAGTAATCATAACATTCGTCGTTTATGTAAAGAGAAGGCGAAACAAGTATTATTATGTCCATTGACTCAGCACTAGCGAGGTATGGTTGAGTGGTTCATAGCATGCCCCTCTGGTAGGAAGAGTGGCATGCTGCTAGCTTTCATTATCTCAATCAATCACCTTTTCCTTGTCCTATTAAGATGAATTTCAATCACAAAACAGTTGAACAAATTTTAGTTATCCTCTTTTCCCTAGGAGGAAGAGTGGTATCAATAAGAACAGAGTATGGTGCAGGTTTGAGAGTGTGAGAATGTGTTAGCATGGCATAAAAAATAATAGGTTTGCTGCACAACCATGCTAGAGAAGATAAGGCAATATATATTTTTTTTATTAAAAAATTGAGATTTAATTATAATGCAATAACGATTAAGAGTATATAAAATGGAGAAGGTTATTCATATGTTAGTATAACAATAAGAAAATATATATTTATTCTTGATTAACATATTAAGACATAATTAAGATATTGTCACCTTGGCAAAACTGTAATGTGCTATATGTAGGGTAATGCTAATACTAGATCATGTGGTTGAGGTCTTGATCTTTTTCATTTACTTCATGTGATATATAAATGGGCAAATCATTTCTGCATCCGTGGCAGAAATTATTTTTTTTGTAACAAACACAAAACAAGAATGGGTTCCATGTTGTTGTCTCTTTCTTTCTTTTTTATGATTTCTCTCTCTCAAATATTTGTTTGTGACAAAATATTTTTTGATGCACAAATGATTTTCTGTATATAATTATATATAAATGGTGACTTAGAGGAGTAATGGTTTGTCAAAATCATTGTTGTCAAAAACAAGTGTAAAGAGGTAAAAGCTTACATTTTTACTAAGGTGGTATGTGTTAAAATGTAAGTAAAAACTCTTCTCAATAAAAAATGGTAAAAATTACGTAAAAAAATATAAAAATAGTAGAAACACAAGTTTTTACATTTTTACTTAAACTAAAAAATTGAACTAGGTCAACTTTTAATTCCCAAAGAATTGATTTCAAATGCTTTTGCCATTTGCGCGTTTACTTGGGAAGACATCAGCGAGAAAGAGGAAAAAATAGGCATTGGTCGCAGAGAAAGAGAGAAAGGGGAGGAGAAAGAAAGGATGTGGGAGGAGCTGAGGAGAAAGAAAGGAGAAGAAATAATTTATTTTATTTTGCAAATATGGACCGTTGAATTAAATTATAATCGAACGGTATTGAAAGTGGTAGACAAAGGTAGGCAAAATGAGAGTAGGCAGAATAACATATCCCAAACGTATATCATTATAATAAGGGGTAGGATATACTTACCACCAAAAAATATTTATCACATTTACAACCAACATAATCTCCATTGATTTTCGTCAATTTAATTGTTATAATTTATTGAATTTATTGGAAATTAATAAATAACTAATAAATGCGATCAATAAATTATAACCGTTAGATTGACGGAGATTAAGTTGGTTGTAAAGGTCGTAAACTTTTTTTGTGATAAGTATATCCTTCTCCATTATTTATAATAATTAAAGAGTTTGACTATAATAACAATTGTTAAGTCATTGTAACTGTGTTGTAGCATATAATTAATTATAATATAAAAAGAAAAAGTATTTGTTATTTTAAATAAAATAATTGTGTTTTAGAGGATTTTTATCTTATCTCTCCTTCACAATACTCTCTTCTTTGTGGAGGAGAGAGGAGATAAAAATCTATCAAAACATAATTATTTTATTTAAAATGACAAAAAATTATAATATTTAAAATGACAAATATTTTTTTCATATAAAGAAGATTTGACTATATTGAAGTTAATTAAACTCATATTTATTCAACAATTCTATTTATAAATGAAATTATTTAAGCTGAAATTAATAAATCTTACTACAGGTGGATGGAAAACAATATTCAAAGTAATTGTTTTCATCCCTTTGAATGGTAAATAATTCAAATTAACAAACCTACATATGCATATTGTAGCAGATAATTCAGCGATCAATGTACATTGCACGCGGTTCATCTATCGTTGTGGGAGAATAAAGGGAATACAAACAAAATATTTGCTCAATTTATCTCTTCCATTTAATTAGTATTTACAAACATCTAAACCATCCCTCCTTTTGTTGCAGATGCATTAGACCACGCTTGACTTTGAACAAGAACCTGTGGTCTTCAAATACCATAATTTTATGCTTCATTAAAAACAAAGGGATGCAATTGAAGGCATAAATTCAAACTAAGTGCTGTATTTGACTTGATTCCCAAGGAATGAAGGGTGGGTCGATGGGAAATGTGGTAGTTGAAATTTGATATTAGATATCCAAACCAAAGTGCTTCTTCCAAAGGAAACTCGCTCCCAAGTCCCAATCACTAGTTTTAGTAATGGGCCTGTCATCGATAACATTATGTTCCTCAGTCAGCATTTTGTATACCCCAATTCCATTGTGGATGAGGTTTTGGACCACTTTCAAATAATTGCATTCTACCTCGCAAATGGACCACATAGACGTTGCTTTTGTGTTAAAATCGAACAACATGGTCAACCATCAAGAATGTCGATAACTCGATTAGGCCCATCCAATGTTTTATGGACGTGGGTGTGGACCACTTTCAAATTATTGTATTTTAGCCGTTTGAGATAACCTCGAAAATGGACCATGAACATAGATATTGCTTTGAGTTAAAATCAAACTGCATGGCCAACCATAAAACTGCATGGCCAACAATTCTGGGCCCTCAAGTCCATTCCATTTTGGTCTCGATACTCATACAACAAATGGTGGCCCACCTTTAAGCTGCCGAGATCAAGATGGAATATAATATTAAAAAACTTGCACGATGAAAATCATTAGAACAAGGAGATGTAACTGTTATGGACTGGATCCATATCCTAACAACTCAATCACCAATAAGATTGGAGAAAGATATAATAACTACATATTCTAGAGAGGATCAAGGGATAAGATCTCAATTCTCCTCAATTAAGGCAGATTGCATATCCACTTTGAGATCTCAAAGGCCCAGACCCAGGCCCATATAAGTAAACCCTATAAATAGAGACTAAAGATCAAGATACAAGACTTAGGACTTAATTGTGATTGCAGTCACTATTGAGCACACACACCCTCTTTGGCTATAAGCCTATTAATAGTGCGTAGTGATTACTAGGTTAGCCTAAGCCAATAGGATATCTCCCTCATTAATATCCCTGAGCGCACACCTATATACGATTTTCCAGAACCGAACAGTAACAATAGATTGGAATCGGAGAGCTCGCCCCAAATTTTATATTTAAACCTAATTTATTGAGTAGAGTTTGTTTAGCCCTAACTCCAAACAATTTATAATTTAATGGGCGGGATTGGAACTTATCTATGACATAAAAAAATTTCTTTATGAAAATTAATGTTATTTAAAACCTGTTTGGATCCTTTTTTTAAAGCTAAAACTAAAAATAAGAGCTTTAAAAATAAAGCTAGAAGTTCGATGATTATATAAATTTTTAACTTAAAAGTTGTTCATTTAAAAAAAATACACATTTTTAAAAAAGATAATACAACTTAAAAAAAAATCTTCCTATGAGCTTTTGATTTTTTTCTTCATTATAAGAAAAACTCTTTTTATTATAGGAGCTTTTATAAAAACCTATTTAGCATAACTTTTACTTATAAGGCGAAGAAAAGCTAAAAAAAAAGAAGATAATCCAAACAGACACTTAATATGTGTGTGTGTGTGTGTGTGTGCACTTAAGGTTGATGTCTTCGATATCGTTACATCAACATAGTTTTGATAATAACAAACAAGTTTGAAGAAGTTGATTCAAAAGTCATGTGAAGCAACATTAAAAAAAAAATCCAAGTGTATGTCAAAGCAACGCAAATTCAAGTGCTTAAGTGTCAAAATCAATGATCAAGTCTCAAAGCATGAAACTAAGTCTAAGATCTCATTAGAATATACTTTTAGGACTTAGAACATATATGTAAAGGTGTATACTAGAAAATATTGCATAAGCTCAAGTCATTCTCATCATTACATAATAAAAAATGCTTAAAAACCTTAGTTTATAGGTCAAAATTGCATCGAAAGGTTTTTAACATTGTTTGAGAACATAAGAGGCCTTGCATAGCTTAAATACACATGCTCACACTCTTGAAAGTCTATTTGAACTTAAAGAATACATTTTGGACACTACATATTAAAATAAGACTTAAATGATTGGTTTAAATATCAAATTTGGATTAGAATGGTTTTAACATGATTTGAATGCATAGAAATATTTTCCATGTCCAATTACATGTGTTCAAAATGATATAAGTCAATCGGAACGAAAAGGAATCAAGTTTATGTGCAAAAAATGTTGTTGTCATCAGATATCTGGATACAGATATTGGCATATATGGATACGCATATCCACATATGGAATTCCAAACATCCGAATATCTGAGGGTTACATATCCGGATATACCCTCGACATATATCTGGATATGACATGTCCAAAATACTTTTCAATGATAATAAATGACCATTTTTTGTTAGAAAAGTATATAAACTCTTTGATAACAGCTCTATTAACCAAGAAACGAAATTATATCGTTTATTAAGCCATTAATACTCCTTCTAACACATTCTTGCACATTGATTACATTCTTACTTGATTGTCATATACTTGAACTCCTCTTTGTTTATGAAGTTATATGTAAGAACCCGCACTTTTAAAATTTGAATTTTAATAGTTTAATATTTAATTATTAGTGTAGGAAATCATTCGATAGTTAAATTAGGATAATTAGAGATAAATTATAATTATTAATATTAAGTCACTTTTCGGGAGAAAAGTGTAAACACCGGATATTTTGCGATAAAAATGTGTACCGGCATAATGATTCGAAATATATAAATAAATTAATAAATATTATTAGAAATTGTATTAAGTCAATAATACAAAGTTTGAAAGAAAGATAGATGTTAGAGGTATTTGAACTTATACCGGTAGATTAGGTGAGCAGTGCCTAAAATAACTAAAACCCTTATTTTCCCTTATTTCTTCATGTCTTCTACGTAGAACACTTCACCACACTTAGTCTTTTTCTCTCTTCTTCCTCTCCAAGAAAGTATGAGCTTTCCTCCATGAAAATCTAGCAAGACATCACCTTTACTCCTCTTTCCACCATTAGAACCTTATAGACACTTGGGAGCAAGCCATGCG